AGCTTCAGCAAGAACCAATGAGGTTCATTCTCATGTTACGCAGCACGTTTGAGCTTCTGCAAGAACCAATGAGGTTCATTCTCGTGTTACACAGCACGTTTGAGCTTCTACAAGAACCAATGAGGTTCATTCTCATGTTACGCAGCACGTTTGAGCTTCAGCAAGAACCAATGAGGTTCATTCTCATGTTACGCAGCACGTTTGAGCTTCTACAAGAACCAATGAGGTTCATTCTCATGTTACGCAGCAAGTTTGAGCTTCAGCAAGAACCAATGAGGTTCATTCTCATGTTACGCAGCACGTTTGAGCTTCTACAAGAACCAATGAGGTTCATTCTCATGTTACGCAGCACGTTTGAGCTTCTACAAGAACCAATGAGGTTCATTCTCATGTTACGCAGCACGTTTGAGCTTCTGCAAGAACCAATGAGGTTCATTCTCGTGTTACACAGCACGTTTGAGCTTCTACAAGAACCAATGAGGTTCATTCTCGTGTTACACAGCACGTTTGAGCTTCTACAAGAACCAATGAGGTTCATTCTCGTGTTACACAGCACGTTTGAGCTTCTGCAAGAACCAATGAGGTTCATTCTCGTGTTACGCAGCACGTTTGAGCTTCTACAAGAACCAATGAGGTTCATTCTCGTGTTACGCAGCACGTTTGAGCTTCTACAAGAACCAATGAGGTTCATTCTCGTGTTACACAGCACGTTTGAGCTTCTACAAGAACCAATGAGGTTCATTCTTGTGTTACGCAGCACGTTTGAGCTTCTGCAAGAACCAATGAGATTAATTCTCATGTTACGCATTACGTTTGAGCTTCTGCAAGAACCAATGAGGTTCATTCTCGTGTTACGCAGCACGTTTGAGCTTCTACAAGAACCAATGAGGTTCATTCTCGTGTTACACAGCACGTTTGAGCTTCTGCAAGAACCAATGAGGTTCATTCTCGTGTTACGCAGCACGTTTGAGCTTCTACAAGAACCAATGAGGTTCATTCTCATGTTACGCAGCACGTTTGAGCTTCTGCAAGAACCAATGAGGTTCATTCTTGTGTTACGCAGCACGTTTGAGCTTCTACAAGAACCAATGAGGTTCATTCTCGTGTTACGCAGCACGTTTGAGCTTCTGCAAGAACCAATGAGGTTCATTCTCATGTTACGCATTACGTTTGAGCTTCTGCAAGAACCAATGAGGTTCATTCTCGTGTTACGCATCACGTTTGAGCTTCTGCAAGAACCAATGAGGTTCATTCTCATGTTACGCATTACGTTTGAGCTTCTGCAAGAACCAATGAGGTTCATTCTCGTGTTACGCATCACGTTTGAGCTTCTGCAAGAACCAATGAGGTTCATTCTCATGTTACGCAGCACGTTTGAGCTTCAGCAAGAACCAATGAGGTTCATTCTCGTGTTACACAGCACGTTTGAGCTTCTACAAGAACCAATGAGGTTCATTCTCGTGTTACACAGCACGTTTGAGCTTCTACAAGAACCAATGAGGTTCATTCTCGTGTTACACAGCACGTTTGAGCTTCTGCAAGAACCAATGAGGTTCATTCTCATGTTACGCATTACGTTTGAGCTTCTGCAAGAACCAATGAGGTTCATTCTCGTGTTACGCAGCACGTTTGAGCTTCTGCAAGAACCAATGAGGTTCATTCTCGTGTTACACAGCACATAATTTCAATCTTTTCATCATATTAAGCGATCGAGTCTCATCAGAAAATTTGGACTGAAATAAGTTTTGCATTCTCTTTATGAACTATTGAAGCGTCAAAGTGTCAGTTCTCAGATTTCTTCAAATATTTCTTTAATTCAAAGGAAAAACAAGATTATTTTTATTACCCTAATGTCAGATATTTTTTCTTGTTTTAAGCAAAAGCTTAAAAAAAATTTTTTTTAAGAAAACAAGACGTAATATGTCATTTTGCATCTCAAGTAAATGTATCTTGATTTACAGTTTTTTACAATCACTTTGCTACTATTTTCAGAACCTTGATGTCATTTTTCAAAACTCTAGACACAAAACTCAAAACGATAATCACTTGTAACACAGGCTGTCTAATGTTCAAAACATTGCATTGTGCATTCACATCTTTAAAGAAATCTTGCACTTGCACAATCATTGGTTCAAAAAACAAATTAACTGTGAAATACCATTGAAACATAACTATAGATCACCCACACACAAGCAACCGATAGTTTCACTGTGTCATTGTTCGTACAATCATTAAATATTGTAGAGCAAAATAGGTGATACAGGTTTCATTATGGTACTACATGTACAGTAAATACATCTCTGTAAAAGTACTGCAGTAGTAGAGAGAATATTACAGACACAGTGGAATCATTGTGAACAAAGTTTGTAATATATTGATGCAAAACACTACAGTACAATCACAACATGGTTTTTTGAATCAAAGCAAAAATAATTAGCTATGAAATAGAAAAGAAAAGACAGTACTGTAAAACATCAAATGCAGTGTTCCTCAACTTGCTGTAAGAAACTAAACAGGAGTGATTACTGTACTTCTACACTGTCATCAACTCTGTGTTGTGGATTTGGCCACAGGTTCTCATCTACATCACAATGGATGTTGGAAAATGACATCTTGGAAAAAACCTTTGGCATGGCGAGTCCAGGCCTGACACTGCTCTGCTGTGATTGGCAGAATTGGACACGCAGTTACAAGGGCCTGCATCTATACAGTACTGTACTGTCAATACTGTACATAGTCTGAAAAGGTGGTACAGTATTTGGCACCATAGACACAGTGTCTGATGAAGCATTACAGTATGATAAAATATTAGGCTACATCCATGGATATTGTAGTCTAATTGGTTCATGCCATGCTAATTGGTGACAATGAATCTCATTATCTTGAAACTTTCATGATTTACTGTAAACATGGAAGATTGTGTGTCTGTTTCCATACAACTATGCATTAAGAGTAATGCAACAGTTACTTATCATTTTGAGCAGTTGTATCAATTGATAGTTAGATCATTGTAAGGAAATGAATAGACACTCATTTGAAATGTAATGTGTGAATTGCCTTTTGAAATAGTAGTACTTTGATGTTAAGTTGTGTCATATTGAACAGGTGATCTTTGTTGAATGAACAAATGATCTAAGTTTTATGTGTATTGTATCCAAGCAATTGAGAAAAGGGTTAGAGTTTTGAAAAATGTGCTTTTTGATCATTGGTTGTGAGTTTTGTGTCTAGAGTTGTGAAAAATGACATCAAGGTTCTGAAAATAGTAACAAAGTGATTGTAAAAAACTGTAAGAATGTTTAGATATTTGTACTAGAAAACAATATAAAAATGCTGAGTATAGACAATGTGTATAACAAAAAAGTGCAACCTCAAAGCAACACAATGTTCTTCTACAGTGAAAAATGTGTATGATTTAAAGTTTTCACCCAGAAATGGGTAATCACAAATAATTACAAAGAAACAAGTAACAAATTGATTTAAATATGCTAATTTTAAGTCGAAAGACTGAAATATTACTTCAATAATCTTTGTATTGGAGGTATACAATTTTTTTTTTACAGTGTAGGTAGTGTCATGAGCTCAGAGCACAGAGATTTGAAAGGCTTCTGAAGGTGTGTGTGTGTGTGTGTGTGTGTGTGTGTGTGTGTGTGTGTGTGTGTGTGTGTGTGTGTGTGTGGTGTGTGTGTGTGTGTGTGTGTGTGTGCGTGTGTGTGTGTGTGTGTGTGTGTGTGTGTGCGCGTGTGTGTGTGTGTGTGTGTGTGTGTGTGTGTGTGTGTGTGTGTGTGTGTGTGTGTGTGTGTGTGTGTGTGTGTGTGTGTGTGTGTGTGTGTGTGTGTGTGTGTGTGTTTGATCCATGACATGAACTGCAAGCAAGCTGCCAGGTTTACTGCCGTAGGAAATGTAATTTCACTCTTGCCATTATAAGCGAGGTGAGTGCGTGTGTGTGTGTGTGAGTGTGTGTATGAGTGTCGTGCCTGGCGCGTGTGTTTCAGGGCCGTCTGGAGTGGGCCGTCTCCCCTGGCGAGGTGTCAGTGAGGTGCTAATGGCTGACGCTGAGAGCATTACTGCGCACACCAGTTCATCAGCCCAATCCACACGCAAAGCCTTCCACAGAACAACGTGCTGTTTTAAAAGCTGCTTGAGGGAATGTGCATTTGTGGTAGTCTATACTTTTATATCACTAGCAACATCAAACATAATGCAAAAAAATGCCAATGTGTTTCCCAAACACACCCATTTCTGCCACTTTTTGAGTTAAACACGTATTCCCACACAGTGCTGGTTAGTAACTGATGTAATCTGGATTACGCTATCAGATTACAAAAATTAAGCACTTTTAATTATTATATTATATTATATTTTGCTCATAATCAGATTATAGTTACTTTTTATTGATTACATGATAAAATTTCACACAGTAAATTATTCATAATTAATTGATTTTCCCTAATTCTTTTTTCCCCCTAATTTTTTTTTTACATTGACACAATTTATACCCTGACGTAATGTGATGTTTAAATCACTTCATGTTGTTGATAACAATGAATGCTAATATATCAATGTGGGTCAAAATAATCCTATTTGAATCTATGATTCAAGGGAGTTAGGTCAAAAGTAATCTAAATGGAATAAAAAAGTAGTCCGATTAGATTGGCTAAAATGTGTAATCAGTAACAGACTACACATTGAGTTAGTGTTCAGGGAGTCAGCCTACCAATGGTTTACTTATAGTCTCTATTTATTAAAATAGAAAGTATTTTAACATAAAAAATACATACTTTACAAGTATTATCCAAGAACTGTGACTTTGAAACTGCATATATAAAATTAGAAACTAATGCTTTGTACCTCCAGATATCAAAGGTACAACTGAGAAATTTGCTGAGAGAACGGGGAAAAATTAGGCAACGCTGTGATTTTGTAAACGTAGACACTGCAGAATAAAGATGATTATAATGAACATATGAGCGGTTCTCTCATCCAGACGGAGAGGAACTCACCTCCTGTGAGAGTTCCTGTTGCTGTTGACGTGACCCCGGCCCGTGCAGCCAGGCGTAGGGCACTTAAGAACATTTTCATACATTGCAAGAACTTGACAGCAGGCGAGAGAAATAGGGTGAAAGATTAGGAGTTAGAGGCCCACAGTTAGTCATCTGCATTAGTGTGAAACACTCGTCATTATCACCAGCACACTCAGAACGAGAGACATCAACAGCGGCATGCAAGGCACTGCTAATGGGGGAACACTGGCATGCACATGAACCATGCAGCGTGAGTCGTGCTACAAATCACATGAGTATTCTGTTCTGTTCTGTTCTATTCTATTCTATTCTATTCTGTTCTGTTCTGTTCTATTCTTTTCTATTCTATTCTGTTCTGTTCTGTTCTGTTCTATTCTATGCTGTTCTGTTCTATTCTATTCTATTCTATTCTATTCTGTTCTGTTCTGTTCTATTCTTTTCTATTCTATTCTGTTCTGTTCTGTTCTGTTCTGTTCTGTTCTATTCTGTTCTGTTCTATTCTGTTCTGTTCTGTTCTATTCTATTCTATGCTGTTCTGTTCTATTCTATTCTATTCTATTCTATTCTGTTCTGTTCTGTTCTATTCTGTTCTGTTAAATTCTATTCTATTCTGTTCTGTTCTATTCTATTCTATTCTGTTCAATTCTGTTCTGTTCTGTTCTATTCTATTCTATTCTATTCTGTTCCATTCTATTCTGTTCTATTCTATTCTATTCTGTTCTGTTCTGTTCTATTCTGTTCTGTTCTGTTCTATTCTGTTCTATTGTATTCTGTTCTGTTCTGTTCTGTTCCGTTCTATTCTATTCTGTTCTGTTCTATTCTTCTGTTCTGTTCTATTCTATTCTATTATGTTATATTCTATTCTATTCTGTTCTGTTCTGTTGTTTTGTTAATTCTGTTCTGTTCTATTCTTCTGTTCTGTTCTGTTATATTCTATTCTATTCTGTTATATTCTGTTCTGTTCTGTTCTATTCTGTTCTGTTCTATTCTATTCTGTTCTATTGTGTTCTGTTCCGTTCTATTCTATTCTGTTCTGTTCTATTCTTCTGTTCTGTTCTATTCTATTCTATTATGTTCTGTTCTGGTCTGTTCTGTTGTTTTGTTTATTCTGTTCTGTTATATTCTTCTGTTCTGTTATATTCTATTCTATTCTGTTATATTCTGTTCTGTTCTGTTCTATTCTATTCTATTCTGTTTTGTTCTGTTCTATTCTATTCTATTCTATTCCATTCTATTCTATTCTGTTCCATTCTATTCTATTCTGTTATATTCTTCTGTTCTGTTATATTCTGTTCTGTTCTATTCTGTTCTGTTCTATTCTATTCTGTTTCGATTCTGTTCTGTTCTATTCTATTCTGTTTTGTTATGTTCTATTCTATTCTATTCCATTCCATTCTATTCTGTTCTATTCTGTTCCATTCTATTATATTCTATTCTGTTCTGTTGTATTCTTCTGTTCTGTTCTGTTCTATTCTATTCTATTATGTTCTGTTCTATTCTGTTCTATTCTGTTCGATTACATTCTGTTCGATTATATTCTATTCTGTTCTGTTCTATTCTATTCTGTTCCATTCTATTCTATTCTATTCTATTCGGTTCTGTTCTATTCTTCTGTTCTGTTCTGTTCTGTTCTGTTCTATTCTATTCTATTCTGTTCTATTCTATTCTATTCTATTCTGTTCTGTTCTATTCTGTTCTATTCGATTCTGTTCTATTCTATTCTATTCTATTCTATTCTATTCTATTCTGTTCTGTTCTATTCTATTCTGTTCTATTCTGTTCTATTCGATTCTGTTCTGTTCTATTCTATTCTATTCTATTCTATTCTATTCTAGTTCCTCCGTTGAGTCAGATCCGCTGCTGCTTGCTGTAAGTAAAGCACACTCCAGTGCGTTCAGTTGTGAGCGATGCAGACAGACGGTTTGACAGAGCGCTCTATCCCTGATTATATTCTCATCACCAGCTGAAGCTGTCAGCTAAAGTTAGCTCATGCATCCAGTCATTCTGTGTGAGGTGTTGCTGCCCTTGATTGTTTCAGCTCTGCATTTGTCTTTCATTTGCATTAAACACACGTCAGCAATCAATGAAATCCCTGCCCGAACTCTCCCTCTCTCTGATCCCAGACTCTATTCTTCATCTGCACATGTCTCTCTGCCCATGACCAACAGGAATTTGATTAGTGTTCATTAGGACGCAGGAGCGGGGGCAGAGAGTGTGGGCCGGGGCGAGCAGAACGGCACTCTTCCGGTGCTCATCTTCATCATTATCAGATCCTTAATCCCTCACCCTCATCTTCAACATGCTCTGACATGTTCATTACTGGATCCGCTCACCTCCACGACTGAGGTGCATGCCTGAACGCAAGTAAAGCTTCCTTTAATGAAGACCTATTATGCCCTTTTACAAAGTCTTGATTTTGTTTTTGGGCTTTAGAATAAGTTTTCATGCTTGATTTCATTTTTTTTTTTCTCATATTCTCTATTGTTGCTGCTCCTCTCGTCTGTCAGAAACGCTCTGTTTAGTTCCTGTCTCTATGAAGCCCCTCCTCCTGAAAAGCACAGTGTGCTCTGATTGGTCAGCTGGACCTACTCAACTTTTCTGATACTGATGTTCCCATCATGCACTGGAGCATGAATAATTAATGAGGTTGATTTTTCGCTGTCTTCCAGCTCTGTTTACTCTGTTGTGTCATTGCCTTTGTTGTTAGGTTCAGTAACTTGACATTTTGTGATATCTGGAGTTCATTTTCTACTCAAAATGACACATTCATACTCAAAAACATTCATCAAATGTTACCGTCATTGTGTTCCAAGTATTGAGGTCTCGGTGTTCAGGTGAATATTACTTTATGTATATTATGTAAACATGGCATCTTTACAATGTCTGTTGAATTTTTAACTTAGATGTTATTAAGTAAAATAAGCACTTTAATAGTGTGGTACAAATCTATGGAAGCTTGTTTCCGCCACTGAATAAAAAAAATAAAATAAAAAATAGTAAGAAATAAAGTCGCAATTGCGAGAAAAGAAGACAGAATTGAGACTTTTTATCTCACAATTCTGACTTTTTTTCTCACAATTGCGAGTTTACATCTCGCAATTCTGACTTTATAACACATAATTGCGATCTTTTCTCAGAATTGTGAGATATAAACTCACAATTGCGAGTTATCAGGCCAATTCTAAGGAAAAAAAGATGGACTTTTCCCCCTCAGAATAGTTTATATCTCACAACTTTGACTTTATAAATGACTTTATAACACGCAATTTCGACTTTATATCAATCAATTCTGACTTTATTTCACGCAATTCTGACTTTACAACACGCAATTGCGACTTTATATCTCGCAATTCTGACTTTCTAACCTGCAATTCTGACTTTATATCAATCAATTCTGACTTTATAACACGCAATGCGACTTTATATCTTGCAATTCTCACTTTATAACACGCAATTGCGACTTTATTTCACGCAATTCTGACTTTATATCTCGCAATTCTGAGATATAAAGTCGCAATTGCGTGATATAAAGTCAGAATTGCGAGATGTAAAGTCAGAATTGATTGATATAAAGTCGCAATTGCGTGTTATAAAGTCAGAATTGCGAGATATAAAGTCGCAATTGCGTGTTGTAAAGTCAGAATTGCGAGATGTAAAGTCAGAATTGCAAGATATAAAGTCGCAATTGCGTGTTATAAAGTCAGAATTGCGAGATATAAAGTCAGAATTGCGAGATATAAAGTCGCAATTGCGTGTTATAAAGTCAGAATTGCGAGATATAAAGTCAGAATTGATTGATATAAAGTCGCAATTGCGTGTTATAAAGTCAGAATTGCGAGATGTAAACTCGCAATTGTGAGATAAAAAGTCGCAATTACCTTTTTTTATTTTTCATTCTGTGGCGGAAACGAGCTTCCATACAAATCAGTGTTATATTGTTGGAGTAAAAAGTACTGCAAAGTGAATTTTAACTAAGTAGAAATCACTCAAAAAACTTTTACTGGCCAAGGTAAAGTTACTTATTTTCTTTGTTCATTTTTACTTTACTTAGTGAAGTTTACTTAATTCCATATGTGAAATTTACTTTTAAAACATCAGTCTACAAAAAACTTTTACGAAACTGCACTTTTTTTTTTTTTTCAGTGTTGAGCAGCAAACAGTTGTCTGAAGATAATAACAGCCACTAAGTGACCCAGCATAACGACACAGTGTTTCAGTAAGTGTGTGTCACACACGTCATGTGACGGTCATCTAAAAACGCCCCTGCTTCGCCACCCCAGCGCCAGCTCACACACTTGCCATCTGGACACTTTAAAAGCAAATCTTTTTGTTAACTAATTTCAGTCTGTAGTCAAAGCCATCAGTTTGATTGCCATCTGGTTAATTTGTGAAAAAAAAACGAAAAAAAAAACATTTTAATGCATTTTAATGAATCACGTAAAAGATGTTTTAACAGGAGATCTGCTCAAGGTGAATGAACGGAAATCTCACTCGTTCTTCCTGTCTGTAACTCTTTCATCAGATTATAATTATTACAGTTTATTCAACTGGATTTAATTGAGCATCTAAAACAAAATGAGAAATCTAACCAACTTATTAAACTGGCCTCCATTAAGATAGCGTCGTAATTACCAACAGAAACAATAAACGCATTCATGCATGTCTGTGATACTGCGACGGCTGCTCCTCTACGCCGGGTCTTTACATCGCCACAGATTTCCTTCAGCAATAGCTGCATTCATATAGGTTTAAATAGTGTATGAACTTCTTGTAAATTATTTCAAGAAAACTTTAAATAAAGTTTAAGTTAATACAAAATCCTTGTACATCCAGGTGTAAAATTGTCCAAAAATAGAATTCAGTGACTGATTTTGAATTTCATTGTTAGACAGATAGAGCTGAAGAGAAAGATGACGTTCATCGGAATGAGCAGTTTAACCCCTTAAGTGTCACCGGCCCACCGGTGGGCCCAAATCCATTACATTTTTAAAACAGTCATATCCTATACTAAACCTAAACTAATCTTGACAAACTATATATCATTTGAAAGCTTACAATCTCTAGATTCCATATTTGGTGTTTGATTTTCAAAATGAATTACAGAGGAGCCATAATTTATCAATTTGCAACAAGAATATTTTCATACTCCTAAGGCGTGTTTAGACCTTTATTTTTAAATAGTGATGAACATAAAAAGAAGGGTAGAAACCTCAGTTTGTTTTCATGCTAAGAGTTCAAAAGATAGCATCCATTCAATTATTTTAGAAAAAAAGATCTGAAAGTTTTTTAAATATAAAGAAAACAATTATAGATTCACCATTTGTGATGTGGCAGCAAGCTATAACGCACATACTTGTTCTTTTTGTGTTTCCTAGAGGTTGAATTCATATCAAAATCTGCCAAACTTCTCATATTACTTCTGAAAAGGATGTCTACTTCATAAATTGTATGAAAATTGTGGAAATAATGGTTCATATCACTCAAAACACATATGGAAATGGAGGCGCCCTTAAATGGGCAGTAATGGAGTCTGGTTGTGCCCTATTGAAAAAGTTTGGTACTGCGCCCATCAAAATCTTACTGAAAGCTCATTTTTAGAGATATCAACCTAAAATTTGAAACACAACTTGTTCAGATTCTTGACTTTGATTTTCTTGCAGTTTTAGAGTCGCCCAGGTTTTGAAAATATATATTTTCTATAAAATATGAATAATTACATTTTTTACATTGTACATTTTCATAAACTCAAACTTCTATAACTTTTTTTCTGTTTCCCTTTCTTAATTTATTTCACTTCTACAAAAATCTGCCAAATGTCTTCTTTAAAACGAGACCAATCTTACGTCTATATTCCAAAGCATTCTTGAATTACAACCATTTAAGTTTGAAATGTGCATTTTCATGTATATTCAAAAAAAGGGGGGTGACACTTAAACTGGATGATGTCAATTATATGATTTATTATTATATGTTATTATTTCTTTCATCACAACATCTCAATGAAGGGAACAGGGGTGGATTTTAAGTCATTTCACTGTTTTGGTTTGAGTGAATGTTCATTTCGTCAAGTCCGCAGGAACTGAATTTCTAACACGAAAAGCTGATCAATATTACAGATGTTTATTGGTTTTGTTTCCCCCCTCTTTCAAATTGAATTATTTTAAACATAACATGCTATCTTAAGAATATGGTTATTGTTGTGGCAACTGATGAGTAATCAAGTGTCCTCAATCACTTATATTTCACTTAGTCATTTGTAAAACAACAACGAAAGCCTGTTAATGACATCATCATCATCATCATCATCATCCAGGAAGTGATATAATTTTTTTTGTCAGGAAAAGCAAAACAAGTGCTGCAGGAATGACGCATCGTGAGCTTGTGTTCACCACAGATCTTATTTCAGGCTTTTACCTAAATCCCATTCTAACATCTCATTGACCTGGACGATGGAACTGAAAGTGCTGAAGGGTAAGAGGTATTGCATAGGAATGAGCAGATGTTTTTAGTGTGGAGGAGGACGGCATGCACAGACAAACACATACAGACACACGGTCAACCTATGATTATGATCTCTTTTCATTTATGCAGCCGGCATGAAAAATAGCAAAGATTTAAAGGAAGAAGCAAGCAAATGTGGCACCGACGTTTAGAAAGAGCTTGCTTACTTTCTGGTGGGACTCGGTCCTTGTGCGGGCATCCAGACAGGCTGCGATGATGCGGGTACAAACCCGTCACATGACCTGTGCCGTCACAGCCAGGCGTTGGACAGCGGCTTTCTTTTTTCCCCGACCGTGAAGAATCTGAGTACACAAACACACACAGGATTATTATTGACATAAATATGCAAGAGGACTGATAAAGTCTGGTCCAAGAATTGCCTACTTAGACAGAAAGATACCGTCTGACTGACATGCAAAACAACCTCATGTCACCATTACGTTCAGTTTAGCTTTAGTTTCACTTCCATGGACTGTAGGGCTCTGTTTACTCCTGGTGTGTTTTGGTCGATCGGATCACAAGTAGACGAGGGAAACACATTCCCGTTCACACAGGTATTTTAATCCGTCTCTTTTATCCACTTTCAAACACTTCTGTCCTGATTTCTTCGAGGGGAGGGTCTATGGGCGAGGAAATGTACGGGCTTTTTCAGATCTTTCCATCTAAAGGATGAAATAAGATCACACAATTTATATATGAATGTGACCGGAGACGACGGAGAAACACACAGAGCATCAGCTTTCGTTTCTGCTCTGACAGACACAAGACCAGCTGAACACTGAGTGTGTGTTAGATATCAGTAATGGAGAGAGAACATCATACGTTTGATACGTTTTACATCTTCAAACCAAACTTACAATGTTTAAACCCCGTCTGTCTAGAGCTCTTCTCATAATGTTCACGCATAGGGTGACCAGATGAGCTTGGCTAAAATTCGGGACGGGACGGGACGGGGAGGGCGAGGGGGGGAGGGTTCAGGGGGGGAGGGGGGGAGGGGGGGGGGGGATGTGGGACGGGGGTTGGGATACGGGGTTGGGGTTGGTTTTGGTTCAATATGTAAGGTTTTGGTTCAAAATATGTTTTGGTTCAAACCCGAACCAAACAATTATTTTTATTCAAAGATCAACAGTCTGTCATCAGTCTTTAGTCTGCCACAAAAACAAACAAACAAAAAAAACATTAAAATCATGAACTCAAATGTCATTGTGAAAAAAAAAAAAATGTGTTACTGTGCACAGGCTAAATCAGACCTTTCAGGCTATAGCCTAACGCTAATAAGCCTTATGCAAAAAATTGTTAGGCTACTACAACTAAATTGTCGGTCATTAAATAGGAAAACTAAATAATTGTGTAGGCCTAGATGATTTGCTTCAAGTGTAACCCGACATCAGACATTAAGGCCCGGCCCAAAAAGTATTTTTTTGCACACAGTGACGCGACCAATCAATCACTCCTTTAATGCTGCGTTCACACCAGACGCGAATAGCGCGTCAAATTCGTGCCTACACGAATCCATTCGCGCGTCAAGAGCATTTAGACTGGCTGCCTGCACATTCACTGTCCTCGCGGCTGCGGCTGCTGCAACTTGAGGGGGCTGGCTGCAGGACGACTCCACGGATAGTTTTTAATGTTTTATCAAGATTTTGCTTTAGTATAATTTTCGGGACAATTAAGGCCGGTTTCGGGATTGGGGACAACAGCTTAGATTTCGGGACTGTCCCGAATTTTTCGGGACTTCTGGTCACCCTATTCACGCATGAGGTCAGTAGACGGAGAGTAGACGGTCTTTAGTGGCTGTTCGGACGCATTCGATCACATGAGCGTTTACACTGCGAAAGCAATCCGGTCGAATGCGTTCTCGACGACCTCTGGAAGTGGTGGAAAGTGAACAAGATCAAAACCCTTTTTAGACCCGTTTACACCAAGGGGGTAATCCATCGACCGGAAGTTGAAGCCGGCCGGGTGCCGCCATGTTGTAGCAGTACTTCACTTGCGTTAGCATTTCCATTGACTCCCATTCATTTTGGCGTCACTTTGACAGCGAATAACTTTACATCTGAGGCGTTTAAAGACTCCATTTGTCCATTATTTATTTCTAAAGAAACACGACAATGTATAAAGAGCTCCATTACCTTCTATGTTACATTATGGCCCCGTAGAAACAGTTTTAGTAAAAATAGGCTAACGATTGCGTCATAACCACTCGACTCTCTGTCGCGCTGTACAGAAATTACCGTACAGACAGGAGGAGAAGCTCGCAGGCGATCGGGGGGACGTCCCGTCAAGGGAGAAGCGCATAGATAATGAGTCCATAAAAGCAACGGAATACTTACTCCTGCTCACTCACGCCCCAAAGAACTCTTTGCTCAAGTTCCCCGTCTCTGCAAGATTAACGTTGGCAATTTTCACGCACAGCTACTAGAAGATTAGCGTCTGTCAGACAGGTTGCTCACGTCATCAAGCTTAGTTTGAGTCGGTTTGAGTCTGCGCGTCAGGAACGGAAGTGCTCAGAAATCGCTAAAAATGGGCTTCAACTGTCTCAACTGAGTTCCAATGAGATGGCTCTGTCCATTTCTTATACTGTCTATGGTTTACACCTGTATTTAGCGTCATCCTTGTGATCCGATCGACTAAAAATGATCTTAATACCAGCTGAACAGGACCTTAGTCGTTTATCATCACTCACGTCTCCTTTGTTCTCTGTTTCCCTCCAGTAGTTACTGTAGTGACCGTGGATATTCATTTATAAGCACAGCTGTCTGTATTTGGTTCATCATCACTGTGTATTTAAATTCCTCTTTGGTTCACATTCATTGCAAGGTATTGTTCGAGTGTTTGTGCTTGAATGCTGTCTCGATCATCAATCTTCTTCGTCATCATTGGACTGAAACGTGACACCGCAGTTGTTTTTGCAACAGGTAAGGGTGAATAAATCTGAAATCAATGATACCACAATGATCGACCAACATGGGAAAAAACTTTTTTTTTAAATGTAATAAAACCGCAAATGTACAATATTTAGATCTATTTCGATCTGACCATCTAAAAATTATAAGCACATTGCATTTTTTTTTTTCAAATCTTTTTAAAACATTTTTTTTTTTTCAAATCAAAATATTTTTCCTCGCTACTATTCGGCATGTACCACGGAAATCTGTGTTGCATATACATTTTTGGATAAACACTACCGCTCTAAAGTTTGGGGCCAGTAATATAGAGTATATCATTTTTTTTAAATACCCCTATTCATCAAGTACACATTAAACTGATCAAAAGTGACAGTAAAGACATTTATAATGTTACAAAATATTTGTATTTCAAATAAATGCTGTTCTTTTGAACGTTCTATTTATCAAAGATTCCTGAAAAAATCACTTTTTTCCTGAAAAAACGGTTTTCAACATATTAGCGTGATTTCTGAAGGATCGTGTGACACTGAAGACTGGAGTAATGATGCTGAAAATACAGCTTTGATCACAGGAATAAATAACGTTTACTATAAATTCAGTTATTTTAAAATGTAAATATATTTCACATTGGCTTTTACTGTGTTTTTGATCAAATAAATGCAACTTTGGTGAGCAGATGAAACTTTTTTTTATTTTTTTAAATACCGACCCCAAACTTGTGAACAGTGATGTAGTTGCAACCTTTCGTCCTTGTTAGTGTATCTCTTGTTAGTGTATCCTGGACCTAGATCTGCAGAGGACATCTCTTCCTGAGGGCTGTCCAGGGCTATTGGCTGTGTTTCAAATAGAGAGAGCACAGGAGAGTGCGTGAGTGAGTGAGTGAGTGAGTGAGACAGTGAGTATGCTACAGTTACCACTGATTAAAATTTTAAGGATGGAGTAATCTAGTAACAGGCATCATGTTGCCTTCTGTGTCAAAGTAATCTCAAAACAGACAGGAATAGCATGAGAGCATGTGAAAGACGTGGGCTCAGTTTTAGAGTTTTAGACTGGAAATAGAATGCAGTTCTACTCAAACTTTTGGAATATGTGCTTGAAACAACATTGACTAAAGTTTTACAATATTAGTCACAAACACACATGGATCGGGGTGAATATCATGAAATGTTCAGGTCATACTGTATTTCAAAATCAAGTGAAAAAGTAATTCTGTTTTGCATAAAGAAAATGTCTTTTATGTTCTTTTCCAAATTCTCCAAAAAAGGAGAAAAGGCAGAAAACAGAACACAATTTTTTTTTTTTTTTCATAAACCTACAGCTTACAGAGGAGGAAACATGAGGAAAATCCTGAGGAGTTATGCTTCTTTTTCATTGAACAATGAAAAATGTACATAAAACTCAGAGAGGATCATGCTGATCCACGTCCATAGATGGCAGTGCAGAGTCAAACACCATTGTGGTCGACAGTGTTGATACTGTAGTTAAAGAACTACTGAATGCACTGGATTGTAGTAATTTGTACTGTAATATACTTTTACTTTATTTCAATAAAGATAACTAATGAGAATTGTTATTGAGAATAATGAGCAACAAAACTCTAAAAATTTCCTACCACATTACAGTAAAGATGTTTGGGAGAGAGATGGTCAGGGCTCTATCTCTTCGTCCTGGTTTATTCTTGTGAGCGTGCGGTTCCGAGTTCGCTCATGCGTGAGACGTTATATGTGCGGAGCGTGGTGTTCGGATCCCGACACTTCTGTCTAATTCGGGCTTGTGATTGTGTTCACTGGCCATGTGCTCCTTGTTTCTATGTGCCATGTGCTCAGTCCTGTCTATCGTCTTAACCACTCCTCCTTGTTACCTGAATATATTTATTTGCCTCATCTGCTCTCCTTTGTTACCCTCCTGATTTCCTTCCCTATCCCTTCTCCCTGTGTGTTCGGTCCTGTGCCAGATCATCGTGTGTGCACACAGTGTTTACATGCTCCCTGTTGTTTCCTGCCTAGTCCAGCCGGTCCTGTTTTCCCCCACAGAGAAGTTTTATTTTTATTTTTGATACAATAAAAGCCCATCAACTCTGCATTGAGGTCTTGCCTCCCCCTTTACCTTAGCCTGGCAAGCCAGACCTACATCAAGATGTTAGGTCTGGGAACTCACAATGGCATGCGAGGGGCGGGATAAACGGTTGTCTTTCAAAATCCCTCGGCACGCAATAGGATAGCGCTACAACCAACCAGAGCAACGAACGGCTGTGGCTGAATGAGTCCCATGGGTTTTCCCACCAGCGGAGCTAGTTGATATATTAAACTTTTGACGTATCCGATCGTCAAAACTCCGAACACATCTTCCTTTTTTAAGAATGACTTAAGTGACGTTCTCTTAACTCCAAGTCC